TTTTTTATTTTAATTCTGTGGCTCAAACGATACAATGGTCAAGTCCGGCTCGCAGGTTGAGGCCACTGAGGCCGCAGCTCAGCCGCCGACGGCTCCTCATTCTCCTCCTCGCTCAATATTAAATTGTCAAGAAGTGGCTGTGACATATATTAATTTCATCTGGGAGGATCTGATGGATGAAATTTCCTTTATGATTTTCCCACCGCCCTCCTGGCGAGAAGCATGCTGCCAGAAAGAAGTTTAATAAGCTGAGGAGCCGGCGGTTACTGCCGACAATGCTTCCACACAGCTCAGTGGTGCTGATAAAACACCTTCAACAAATAACATTTGCTGCAGCAGTCTCCTCGGACCTACTGTGTTTGGAGCTCACACACAGCTGGTTGCTGCATGTGTGTGCAGTCAGGCAATATTGTTTGGTCTAATAATATATTTCCCTACTAGAACGATGTCAACAGGGTCCTTCATGGCTATTTAAAGGTAAATTAAGGAATCGTTACACCAAAGTAGGGGCTTTTTAACATCATATTTTGTCAGTCTACACAATGTGTTTATATCACCCTATAAAGAATCAGAAAAGCTTACAGTCTGTTCAGTGTATTAAAGGACACTGTAGGTTCACATTGATTTCTCGAACTCAATCAAATTAAGATAAAATCTCAATATATTTTTGTTTGCGTGTTGAACTGCCATTTCTACAGTAGCCCAGAAAGGACAAATAAAACACTGGCTGTAGATAGAGGTGTTTTGTATGTGTTTTGCAGCCACTGTAGTTTCTCATACACGATTGGAAGGGCAGGGTGAAGCAAGGGAGTTGCAATCTGCAACTAGACGGCTAGAAATTAGAATAGAAGTTAGATAAACCACATTTTATATTCAGTATTCATATTTTCAATGCAAACCTGAACTTTCGCAGTATGTACAGCTGCAGTTGCCTACATGCCACAGAGAAAAAAGCCAGGGTTTCTGTGAGTGGAAATTATCATAAAGACTAATGCCATCTTAGTGTTGATGCATGATGACAAAAAATTGGTTTGTAAAGAATTTAGTGATGGATTCTAATTTTGAAATGAAGCATTTAAGTGTTATACTTAAAACATCTGACACCGGTGTCATTTGCTGTATTGTATCTCTTCCTATTGAGCAGAACCACTGCTTTAACGGACCAGTGTGTAGTATTTAGTGGCATCTAGCAGGGAAGTTGCAGATTGCAACTAACTTAATAGCCCTTGCCTTCTAAGCGTGTATAGTAACTATAGTGGCTGCGAAACTCACTAAAAAAGGTCCTATCTAGAGCCAGTGTTTGGTTTGTCCGTTTTGGGCTACTGTAGAAACATGGCTGACTTCATAGAGGAGGACACACTCCCTCTGTAGATAAAAGCAGCCCATTCTAGATAACAAGATAACAAAAATGCAAAGGTAGGTGATTATACACTAATGAAAACACACACATAAATATTATATTACGTTTTTGCCAATGATGTTTTTAACCTCTTTACCTCTTATCACTGTGTGTCTCAGGTGATGGTCTTTGTCCACGCTCGTAATGCCACAGTGAGGACGGCCATGGGGCTGATCGAGATGGCAAAGAACCATGGAGAAATAAGCTTCTTTCAACCAGACCAAGGCCCCGACTACGGCCAGTGTGAGAAACAGGTAGAAAAAGCTCTCAGCGATCTGTGTTTAAATTCCTTTTAAAAGTCGAAAAGTCATCAATATCTTATTTCAGATTCAGTGTTTAGCCAGATAAGTCTTCTATACTCATCTAGAACATTAGATTGGAATACTGATGAAATTCTTTATTCTGTCGGTGATAGTTAGACGTTGTTTTATGGTATGCTTGAAACTCAGGTCTGTATATATGATTTAAAAACACTCAAAATTCAAGTGCTAGGGCAAAACTTATCAGAGGCTATGGTGCAGGATGCTGGTTGCCAAACTGTGATTAGAGAAAAATATTATGTGTCCCCAACAGGCTAGTGGTTTAGTGGATTTTATGATTATTTCATATTATATTCAACATGCATAACAATTACAGTAGAAAACAATTGTAAAACTGTACAATGAACACCAACAGTGAAAACAATGACTGCAGGAAATTTGTGTCAAATAAGCGGTTTGGATGAATTTTGTGCAGATTATGAATATGATCCTGTGAATATTACATTAGTTTAATTTAATACTTTTATTACTATTCTATGTCTGTGTTGTGTATTTCTTGTAAATCTTTAACAATCATACAGACTTAATAGGCTTCTCATTGTTCCGTTAGCTCTTTGGTTGTTTTAATTCTAATGCATTACGAGGCTGTTTAGCAGAGAGTGAAGGCTCTGTGACTTTAGCTTGTGTTTAGGTCTTCACCATATCCATGTTTATATCATAAATAATTATCTTAAAAATAACTATTTCATTTAGTTGTCTTAACAGAAATTCATTAAATGCTGAGATACAGGCCTACTGTATCTGTATATATTTTTATTTATTTTTTCTTACAACCCCTAAAATCAAGAAGACCTCGCAACTGATTGTGGTTGCTTTGGCGACCCCTAGTGAGGGTCTGGATCCCCAGTTTTGGTAACACCTATTTTTTGAGGTTGTGTGGGTTAAGTTTGCTGTGCTGCTTTTTGGCAGTTTGTAATTTCCCCATTACATCCTGTATACAGCATAGAATTTTGACACACCAGCACAACCAGAGGTAGAGTCACAGATGCCCACAACCACAAAATGAAAAACTATTTTTTGGTAAAGCTAAAGAGAACAGATCTGACAACATAAAAGGGAGCATTGGGTTTCCCGATTCACAGCTCGCCATTACTGTAACTCCATACAACCCAGGTTTGCTGCTATATTGTATGTGTGGGCAGGCATGAGAGCAGAACAGTGATTGTACGTGCACGCGTGCGCACGTGTAATTAATGGTGTCTGTGCTGCGATAGTACACAGAGGTGGAGCTATATTCTCCCTCAGAGGATGGTCAGTCAGACTCCAACTCCCATATTTAAATCTCCTGCAACAGAAGGCAGAGTGATAAATTTAGTAACCTTTTCCTTCGTTCCCTGGGGCCGAGCCAAGATTGATGCGCCTCTAATCTTCTCGCTTTTTAAATAGGATATGTATACAAATCAGATCACTTTTTATGCTTTCTAAAACTGGAAATAGAGACGAGATTATGTGGGGTACTAAAAATGGTGCGTTGTGGCCAGGTTAGTCTTTGAAACAGTACTTTAAAAGCAATTGTGCTACTGTTCCTACAGTATATGTACATTAATTAATCATGTTGTGTATGCACTAACTGTGCATTAATTCACTCCTAGCTCTTCTGCCTGCCTGTGTCCCAAAATAATGAGCATTATTCACTCCATTAGTCCGTCTTTGAGTGTTTGTCGGTCCGGCCTGCTCTGGCGAAGGAAAAGGCATCGGGCTGATTCCACTCTAAGCCCACACACAGATAATGCACTGTCTATTTGCACTCTGGAAATTGCCCCACATTAATATTTATAGGTGTTTTTTAATCTCTAATATGCATATGCAGTGAAATAAAGCACCTCTGAGGTCAGTCATATAATTTAGCGTTTATTTATCCAGCTTTAAAAGTCAGAAGTGATTCCACTATATTTTTCTCTCTCCTAATGTTATTTAATTGGCTTAATCTCATGGGGTTGGAGAGGCTGTCAATCAAGCTTAGATATCTTAATGCACCCACTCGAATCAATTCTTGTTAAATACAGTTTTTGGTGTGCCAACGATTATAAAGTGCAGCTGAGTAAAATAATGAAAACAGAAAACACTCTCCAAAATGGCTTTTTACACAACAGTCTTACAGCCCTGCCTTTTGATCAGATGTGTGCACATTTAAAGGAGAGCTATTGTGCTTTTCCATAGTTGCTGTAATGTAACAATGTGGGATGTTGACATTAAACGAGGCCAAAGTAAATTACACATTTCATGGCTTTTCCTCTGACGTTGTTCAGCTTGTCTGCCTCACATCTCAGGGAACTCAAGTTTACTGATGGACATTTGCTTGATGCTATTAGTTAACTGCTAACAGACAGGGAGCTCGAGGCCCTGGTGGTCTGAAAGCTCCCGTACTAGAGATGTAACTTTAAACACAGACACCTCCTCCGGTGCTCTGAGCTCCTAGTCTGGACAGAGTCACATAATAAGATGTCTAAATTAGCTACACTGCTAACAGCAGCAGCTAAAGGAGCTAACAGCGAACAACAAGTAGCTGAGGTTATATATCCATACAGGACTAAAAGTTCCCTCTGGGCTCTCTGGGGTAATCTAGTCCAGATTTGACAGGTTTGGGTAAAGTGGTTTGGATCTGGACCTGGTCCAGTATGGTCTATATGTGGGGAAAAAACTGTAAAATGTCATCTTTTGGTATTTCGACAAGTAGAATGAAGTTTTGACATATTTGCCGGTGGGTTTTAGACAGTGTTAAGACTCCTGTTAAGAGGAGCAAAAGGATTATCAGTCGCTCAGCAGTGTTAGTTAAGTTTCTCTTAAGTTTCCCCTTAACTACCAAAGCTGTCGGAAGCCAGTGTTTTTATTTCCATCAGGAAACTCTGTAAATTGCTGAAAGTTGAAGCAGAGCAGCAGGAGGACATCAGAGGATGGACCAGAAAATATTTTCTCCATAAAATATGATCCAGTTTTACTAAAATCAGTGGATAAAGTTATAAAGTTGTGCTTTTGTACAGTAATCAATGATGCCCGGCCCCCAGAAACACTCCGATGGGTGCTTCCGGGCTTTATGGCAGGGGAAAATGTGCATAAATTTTGTATAATAAATAAAACTGTGTGAACATTTTTTAAAAAGGATTCTTTGACAGTGCCCTTAGTTCTTGCATTGTAACACATCTGTCACATACAATTAACATCAGAACACAGAGGGAGTACAGCTCAGAGTATTGCTGGTAATTGATTAATTAGATGTGCACTAACATAGCTCATTGCCTTATTTAAGCTTCATAACTTTGTGGGAGAGAATTGCAACACTGAACGCTCACACAGGGAAGTTTACTTCTCATGGACAATAACGTTGTTTTAATTATAACAAGAGGGCCTGCTCATTGTAACACAACCGGGTGCAGTGCATGTACAGCTGATTATTAGCAAATTTGTTTAGTAAGAAACATAAAGCCACCCAGATTCTGTCTTTATAAACATAATGAGGAAATTCTGTTTAAATTCCAATGTAATGAGAATAAAACGACATTTCCAGTAATTCCAGTGTGTTTACTGAAAATGAACCAGTAGCGCATTACACTGCTTCCCCAGTGGGAGCCAATAGTGTTTGTGGTGCATGTTGAATTGCGCATTAAAATGTTAAATTTTTGCCTCATGCTCAAAAACGTGAATGCTTGAATTTAAACAAACAAACAAACAAAACAATTTCAACAAATAAACAAAGAAAGCACAAATGTACCCCAAGCAGATATGGCTACAACTATCTGTTGTTTTCATTATTGATTGAGCAAATATTTTCTCGATTAATTGTTTGGTCATTAAAATGTCTAGAGAATGGTGAAATTCTTCAATATAGATAAAAAGGAGATTTTGCTGCACATGATTCAGTGAACAAATTCGGACTTTTTAAGGATATATCCAGCTTTACAGCAGGCATTGATCCTGCTAACAAATATTATCTTTATAGTTGAAGCCTGATATAACTTATTCATCTGTGCCGCGAAGGAACGTGTCAGCCAATGCAACAGTGTGGCCTTTAATAGTTTTGGACAATAATGGAGCTCTATGACCCAGAGGAAGAATATGTATCAGGCTTTGATGCACACACAATACTTAATGTGAATGATGAAAGGATGTAGTAGATGTGGTTGTTTGTGGCTTTTGATACCCGGCTCTTGTTAGCATTAAAGAGGTATTAGAACAGCTAAAGCTATAGATGTGAATCAGAATAAACATTGATCTAAGGCTACAAATGTTAATGATGTGTTCTTGCAAATGTGAAGTAGTAGCCCGTTTGCTGGGAACCTGTATCTATCTAGTATCGTATTCCACAGCCTGTTTTACTTTCATTTGCTCCAACTCTGCCTCTACCTTCCCTTCACCTTCCCCCCTTGTCTCCCTCATTTTTTAATATCCCGTTCTCAGAGATGAAACCATGTGACTGGTTCCAGATGAGAAGGGAAGTCTACAGTGGAGGTTAAGAGACACCTTGTGGTCCCATGAGTCCATTACACAGAAGATATTACAGAGATATCATGTGTTGTTGAGGGCTATGAAGCAAGACCTTTAGCACTGACGTACGGCTGCATGAATGTATATTTCTTAAGAAGGGAGTGTTAAATAAGTGATGGTGTACTGTAAAGGTAGAGGTAGACAGTATAGATGTCCTGATACACCTTGACTTTTCTTGTGAGGACGTCTTTCTCTTCCCACTCTCCATCTCTGGTCTTTAGATGTGTAGATTTTATGTCATTTTGTTTGACAAGACACACTGATGCCTGCGAGTGTGAAGCCTCCAGGGATTCCACAGCAACACCACAGTAGGCTCATTAATGTCTCTGTTTGCTTTCATTGGTGCTATTTTTACAAGTCTAGTCCATTTCATTGTGTCAGATCCGTGACAACCTGTCACTGTGCCAAACCAGCTCCCTAGTACGCCGATCAAAAACAATGAGCCACAACTCAAAGGCTGGACGAAAACAGGAATGACACAGTGGAGTGACAAACACGCTTCACAGAAATGGCTGCCTTAAATAGAAACATGGCTTTGTAAAATAGTGGGACAGCATGAGGAAAACTGGGTAGCTCACCATCCAGTCTGACTATTGTGATATTACAGCTCATCTGCAGTCCCATAGCCTCAGGGAGCGGCCTTGCATGTTATCATGGTAGTGCATAGCAAGTCCATTTTTCTCTTTAATTGCTTCTTCATCAGCATTAAAACGGCTGCCTGGAATGTTAACTGTTCTGGTGTGCCACCCACTATGATCAAGAACAAAGGACTGGTATCACACACTCGATTTTTCTGTCCGCACAAACAGAAAAACAGCTCATCAACAAACACACTCACGCAAACAAATATGACCTCCATTACTACCGTGTTCTATTCTGTTTTCATCCCGGCTCCTTCATGTCTGTCGCAGTTTCAGTGTCCTCTGGAAGCTTTTCAAAAGTAGAAACATTTTAATTTTTGTGCTTAACAAACAAGTTTGGAGCTGATTTCTGATTTATCTGATAACAGATGCTTTGTGGCTGTACTGTACATTGTACATTGCACACTGTCTTGACTTTATTTTCTACCTGTAATTTCTGAAATTAGCTTGAGAAACCCATTGCATCCCCTCTCCTGTTTCACAGACTGTAGGATGAGTAACATAAGCAAAGAGAAACTAACCTATATTGGTAAGTCCAAGTCAATAAAAATATCAAAAGCATCACTAAATATTTAATATTTCATTTAAGTTTTCAATAAATCCAAGCATTTACGTGTATTTACAAGTGAATTTCAGGCTTCAGAGGCTCAAGATAAGTAGACTTGCCATGTACAAATAAATGATTAGATAGAAGAGCCGCAGGTGAGACAGCTTTCTTACATTTCCTGTGGACACTGGGACTTCAGTGGCAGTGGATCATATCTGGCAGGTGTGACAGAGCCAGGAGCATCTTATAGATATTGAGGTTAGGGGATATTTGTGGTTCTTAAAGTGTGTAACATTTAGGAGGATCTGTTGGCAGAAGTGGAAATGTAATATTTATAGGTATGTTTTGATTTGTGTATATACACCAAAAATTGTTGTGTTTTCGTTACCTTTGAATGAGAACTATGTATCAATCTACAGACGCTGTGGGACACCATCTGTTAAGGTTGCTATGTTGACAAACCAAACACTGGCTGCAGATAGGACCTGTCACGTTGTTCAAGAGTTTCGAGGGCAGTATTCAGTTGGTTGCAATTCGCAACTACACCACTAGATGGCACTGAATTGGACACAGTGGAACTTTAACTTTAACCACTCGTCTTTATCTTGAGCTGACAACATAAGAGAATTTAACTAATGTTTCCTCATTTTTAGTGGGCAACGTTTAGAATGCACAATTGCAGGAGCAGAGAACAATACATTTTTTCTTTCATAAATTTTCGGAAATGTGCAAAAAGTGGAGCTCAATGCAAACCTGAATAACTACAACTGAGCTCATTTACAACAATCTACTAAAATGTGATTTTGTGAAATGTTGCACTGCTGACAAAGATCTGCAGTTGGTTTAGTAAATATCCCCCCTAGGTGGAGCTAAAAGAGTGTTGAGAGATAGAGGCAGATCGTGATAGAAAAGAGGAGTAGAGTGGGTGTGAGTGGAAACTTGTCCTCCCACTCCCTCCTACCTATCCAGCTTTAAGAGCCAGTCTCTCTGAGCACCAAACATTATGACTATCAAGGGCCACTAAATTAAATCAACAATCAGCCACCCTCCTTCTGTTTAATAAAGTAAATGAATAGTTTTGGTGCTCATGAGAGTCAACATCAGTGGTGGTGCCATCGACTGCGTCCGCCACTCATTTGCCACGTTTTCAGTGTGATTTTACACTTTGAAATCTCAGCTTTGAAGCTGTAATTTGCTGCACAAAAATACTGATGCTTCCACATTTTTAAAAACGATTCTGCTTCTCTCCTGCATACTATTACTGAAAGGATCAGGAATCGTAAGCGATGTAAAACTAGTTAGTTACACCTACCTCTATTTAGTGGCCCTTAGAGAAGGTTTGACAGTCTCTTGAATAGTTTATTTCGCTCCGGTGTAAGCTGATTCAGAGTTCTTTACATAGTCACAACAATGATAGATGGTGAGTGGAGCTGGCAGCTGGCTGTCTGAGGACAGAGTGAGCTCTGCAGCAGAGGCAGCAGTAGGCAGCAGGACCTAATGGGACCTGATCAGGAGCTTAGGTCACTGCCATCTCAAATACAGCCATGGCACAGCAGACATCAGCGCTACCTCACCTTAGATTAGATGCTGGAAGCATGGCTGTAACACACTCTGACACCTCAAAGCAAAGCCTCAGCCATAGCATTTCAATTACCCTCCTTCCCCAGCTCCCCATGGATCTCAGCAGCACGCTGCACTACCTGAGGACTCCAACCAGGCCAAAGTTTGCCCTGTTCATCCTGGACTGGATAGGTGGATTGCTTTTTGTTCTATTGCGTCATTCTGTATGGGGTTGATATCTGATAAAAATCACTGCACCGAGGATAGAACTAGTAGCAGCATAACAAATACACTGCCACATCAGTGGGAATGGGAATGTGCTAGACTTGGGTAGTATCTATTTCCTTCATACCTACCTGACATTTCACTGGGCTATATGACTGTAAAACCAACAGAAAAACAAAAAAGCTGGTTACAGAAGTGTGTTGCACTGCCATCACTACAACAAAGCATAGGTTTAGTAGAAAGAGGAGCATCTGTATTTTTGACTGTATTGAAAATCATATCTTCTGAGACTCCTAAAAACCATGGTATACTTGATACCGCCCAAGCCTATGCTAGACTTGGGTAGAAAGTACCAAATAATCTACACGTGAACTATTTATCTCTGGTGTGCTTCAAACAAATTAGGTACTGTACGTCACATTGTGACATCATGTCATTGTCATTGTCTGTCTGTCTGTCATCGCATGTACGGGCTAAAGCGTTTTTACATACCTGTCCCCACTCAAAGTTAAGGCAGGGCCCTTCATAGAGAGGGAGAGACGAGATGAATCGTACATGCAGTCATATATTGCCCGAGGCATTTATTCATTCGAGTTGAACCAATTCAGTCAGGCCTGTTGCTATAGCTAAAAGTTTCAATTTGCTAAATCTGCTTAGCTTAGCGGTGTGTTGTCAACAAAGGGTGGCATCATGTCTCTAGCAGAGCTGAGCACCTCTATGTGTGCAACTTGTTACATTATGGGACATGTACGTAAAGAGGACGTATGGTCCTGTCATCCTGTTCACTCAGTGAGGCGTGTGATGAGGTGACTTTAACCTGGGGGTCAGGAACACCGCTAGGGGTCGCCGAAGCTTCACAGGGGGTTGCTAGGCTGATAGAATAATGGCCAAGCATCAGGGAGGAAAAAAACACAAAATTTGTCAAAAAAAAGAAGTCTATTAAGTATAGTGTATGACTGCATGAAAACTAATTAAAAATGCTAATAGAGACAGAATTCTCTCACAAGTTCCTAAAAATATCAGGAAAACTATCTGATGAAATATTCACAGGAAATAATCTGCTCAAAATTCATCCAAATCACCTGTTTTACATAAACTTTCTACAGTTATTGGGTTCACTGTTTGGGTTCACTGTACAGTTTATCAGTTGTTCTCTAGTTATTGTTATGCAGTTAATATAATTTTAAATATTCATAAAATCTGTCACTTAGTCAGTTTACTCAATGATAAAAAAGTAGTCTCTTAAGGAAAAAGGTTGGGAACCACTGGACTATACTGTAGATTAACAGCGAAGAGTGCAAAACCTGTGAACAGAATACTCATTATTATACATGCTCTCATTTGCTTAACTCTTGTCAATGAAATAAAATATTACCCAGGTTGAGAATCACTGACTTAGAGGTCTTTGATTTTAAATTTAAGATGTCCTGTAAAATATAGTGTGTACTACAAGACATAACAGAAAAGTGTAAGTAGCTATTATAGCAACTTGTTCGGTTGAAATTATTTATGAAACAATCTCATGTTTCGTGGATGTTTTTTCACAGTATTGTTTCCACACTGGAAGCAAACCTGTACTTTTCCCCTCCCTGCTGCATTGCTGGGTAAAGTCTCAGTCATCCACCTATAATCCACAAGGTTTGCATACAAATCCAGACATTCACTGCAACCCAAACACTGTGTGTGTTTGTTTATGTATGTGTGTGTGTTTCTGTCTGTCTGTGTGTGAGAGAGAGAGGGGTGGTGTGAGGCAGACAGCTGCTGGCTGTAATGGGCTTTCTAGAGGTGCTGGGTGCTGACCTCTATTTAGATGCCCAGAGAAAGAGATAAAGCCCTGTGATGAGGACTCCCCTCATGCCCGGCCAGTTCACAGCCCTACTGTCAGTCACCAACACACATTTCAATCTGTGTGTGTGTGTGTGGTTGTGTGTGTGGTCTCTGAGCTGCAGATACTCTTTGGCTCTACAGTGACGCCTGTGCATTTAACAACAGTTCACCCTAATGCCCTGGTAATGGTAGTGTAGGACTTCGTCAGGGAGGTGCTGAGTCAGCGATACTTTCTGAGCCACTTGCACATTGTCATGTTCCTGTAGCAGAGTGCATTTTATTCTGCACTGTTCCTGTTATTGTCGCTGTGTTTCTTGGAAAAATAACAGCAACAATTATGACTCAAAGTCCTCTTTTTTTCTCACAGTCCAACGTGATATTGGATCTTAACAAAAAACAATGCTAGTTGCTTTTCCTCTCATACCCTGAAGCTATTTTCTTTCCTTCTTTTTTAAACTAACCTCTCTTGCCCCGTCTTTTAGATCCAACGCTCCAGAAACAAGCAGATGAAGGAGATGTTCCCAGAAGGCTTTGGAATCCACCATGCTGGCATGCTGCGGTCTGACCGCAGCCTGATGGAGAGCATGTTCTCCAAAGGCTACCTTAAGGTGCTGGTCTGTACTGCCACCCTGGCCTGGGGAGTGAACCTGCCAGCCCATGCAGTCATCATCAAGGTTCTACTATTTGACTTTTTTTCCTTCTTTTTTCTGTCTTCTTTCTTTCTTTGTTGCTTGTATTTCCTGTAAGCAAGGCCGGATTACCGGCCAGGCAAAGTAAGTAACTGCCCTGGGGTCTGAGACCTTCGGGACCCCAAGGGCCCCAATTAATTGGTGGAGATTTCATTAGTTGCAAGTTTGTTTGGTAAAATAAATAGTAAATAGCTATAGGGCGCCCAGTAAATGGACAATTTTTATAGCACTTATTGAAAGGATAATATGCCTTGGATTTTCTTAAGTAGAAGAAGCAGGATTGGACCACTTTCCTTATGTGACACTCAAAGCTCATGTGTTGGTCAAATAAAACACTTTTCCAGACATTCTGTCCAGGCCTATGGCATACAGTTACACTAGCATTAGTTAGAAGGTTAGAATGTCTCAGTTTCTAATATTTAGAAAGATATTTGTAAAATCAATGAACATTATTCCTCAAGATTGTCTATAGCAGGGTGTCCAGGGGGTCCTAAAAAGTCTAAAATCCAAGCCTTAATATGTCTTAAATATGACTTTGATTATGATTATGATCTTAAAAATGTATCGGACTAATAAAGTTAAAGTTGCATTTTTCAGTCAGTGTTTTTGGGAAAAATCTGTAACGATCATGCTGTAAACATGTAACACTACAAAACCAAACTAACGTGGAACCAATACTGATTTTCCTTCATATGCTTTGTCAGTAGGTACATTCATAATGACCTTTAAAAGTCTTAAATTGAGCCTGTTCAACATACACCAATCAGCCATAGCATTGTGAGCACTGACAGGTGAAGTGAATAACACTGATTATCTGGTTACCATGGCTCCTGTCAGTGGGATATATTAGGCAGCAAGAGAACCACGATGATTAAAACCTGCAGAAACCTTGTATAAATAATTTACAGTATTAAATATTTATTTTACCTCTTGTTGATGTTTGATTATAGGGGAAATTCCATTTTTAAATAAGATGCTTTAACTTCTACCTAATGATATGTTGAGAGATATAAATTGCACATGTTTCCAGTCCTCTGAAGCCAACCCTGTCTCTTGTGTTTATAACAGGGTACTCAAATCTACGACGCCAAGCGCGGCACCCTGGTGGATCTGGGAATCCTGGATGTCATGCAGATTTTCGGGCGTGCAGGTCGTCCCCAGTTTGACAAGTACGGTGAGGGCACCATCATCACGACCCACGACAAGCTGAGCCACTACCTAACCCTGCTCACCCAGCAGAACCCCATCGAGAGTCAGTTCCTGGACAGCCTGGCCGACAACCTCAACGCTGAGGTTGGTCTCCTTCAGCCCTGTTTGGACTGATGTGAATGTTTTCTTAATTTTTCCAATTCTGAATTGATTTCTTTCCTTTCTGAAAAGGCAGGCAGTGATTTAATGTATTTCTAGGTGAAACTAAGTTTTGCTGCATCAGGAAGGAATAAGAAAATCTGTAAAATTTTGACTGAATTACCTGGAGCAAGTTTCAGCAGGTGTCATCATCCTGTATGATGCTGGGGGGAATTTAAGTACATGAGGTCCCTGTGTAATATAGACCTGTGTGGGTGACAACATTCTGCATCAGCTCCAGAATGGTTACTGTTAATTTCCCAAGACAAATCAAGGTAAAAAAAAGTGTCTCTCTTATGTGTTAAAAAATAATAGATAATTTTTGACTGTATTCTGTTGACGAATTTCAGCATGAATATTATAGTGGCAGTGTTAACAGCCAGATTAACAGCATTAGCTAAAACCAGAAAATCATCAAAAAGTCTATCTTTATGGATTATACTGATGCCAAATTGACAGTCAGACTATGGACATACGATGCACTTTCTATCCACTTACTTGTGTTGCTAGAGTTCTGTGTTCTTACGGACACGCAAGTAATTGTTAAAATGTTATAATTCTTAAAGGGAGTTTGGACCATATATTCCCAGAAGTACAGAACATATATTATATATATAACATATGTATTATATTGATATATATAAAACTATAGCTTTATTGGTAATGATTAAAATAAAAAACATGTATGACATATGGTAATTGGTAAATGGACCTGTACTTGTATAGCGCCTTTCTAGTCTTCTGACCACTCAAAGCGCTTTTACACTACGTGCCACATTCACCCATTCGGAATCAATTTGGGATTCAGTATCTTAGTTATCATGTGGGATATATCAGGCAGCAAGTCAAGTGACATTTTGTCCTCAAAGTTTGATGTGTTAGAAGCAGGAAAAATGGGCCAGGTGAAGGATTTTGAGCGACTTTGCCAAATTGTGATGGACAACTGGGTCAGAGCATCTCCAACCTGCAGCTCTTGTGGGGTGTTCCTGGTCTGCAGAAGGTAGGTACCATCAAAAGTGCTCCAAGGAAGAAAACAGAAACCGGGAACAGGGTCATGGGGCCAGGATCATTGAGCCTGTGGGGAGGTGAAGGATGACGCGTGTGGTCTGATCAACAGACGAGCTATCTGCAGCTCAAACTGCTGAAACAGTTAATGTGGTTTTGATAGAAAGGTGTCAGAACACAAAGTGCAGAGCAGTCTGTTGTTGGTATCCTGCAGAACATTATGACCACCAGGGTGCTCGGGTGGCTCACAATGTTATGCTGATATATTCACATTACATGCTTTCCTTTCATCACAGTCAAAACACCAAAGGATACCTCTGCTCTGCTATGATAATAAAATACACTGTGGGTTCACCAACCTGATAAGCCTTGTGGATTGATACCGTTATGCCAGTGGTTGGCCTCATGCGAACATAGAGGTAGTATAAACTGAGCCACTTCACGCCTCCTCCACGTTGGTGACTGACCCCAGAGCCCACCTGAATCCAGGAGAGAGGGGAGAGGAGAGATTCACTAACAATGCTGGTCTCTGTCACCATCTAGCGGACACCTCAGGAAACTGCAGTTTCAACAAATGAGGCTTTTCTCATTTCCCAATTTATGGTATCCTCGGGCCTCCTTTCTCGGCACCTCAGTCCCTCCACAGAGATGCGACAGAGGAAGGGAGACACAGAGAGGAGACACAGGAGGGGGAGACCACAGAGAGAAAACACAGGAGGGAGACACAGAGGGAGACACAGGAGAGAGACACAGAGGAGAGACACAGAGGGATCGAGCGTAACAGACGTTTAACAAAATGAGACGTCCTTGCTTCAGAGTCAACTGCACAGCTGCCATCATCTGTATTTTCTTATAGACTACTGCCTTGCTATTTTTATTATTCTCTGTCAGCATGAGCATGACAGTGTTCAGACAAACTATGATATACACCG